CTGCTAGTTAACATTCATGGCAGCCAGCTATAGGCTCTCTCTTGGGCCAGTAGGAAATGGCTGCAAACTACGTGAAAACTGCCGTAGAAGCATGAAAAAATCCATTATTTCCACTATCGATAAGAGTTGGGAAATGCAAAGTCGCTCTTGGCCTTCCTAAGTTGGAGCATGTGCATGTAAATTTTGGTGCAAATCCGTCGGAAATTGCGGCCGTGTATTCGTTACACACACACACACACACACACACACACACACACACACACACACACACATCTTACCTTTTATAGAAAGAGATTACTTGTGCAGCTGTACCATATTTTAACTGTGTTTTTTATTGAATATCTGATGTAATCCTGATTTGGCGGGTGGGAATGTTTAGTAATCAATTTGAAAAATATTTTACCTATTTTGCATTTTGCCTCTATCTTAAAAGGGGTTCAAACCAAATCATATTTTTCTTTTCCTCGAAGTTTTCTTCATATATTGTTTAATTTGTCGAGGTTTAAATTCTAGTTTGGTTTTGTGATCCTCTACCTTCAACTTCCTCTCATATACTTCCTTTTTATCCTCAAAAATTAATCTAGTGGAAGAGTTTCTGGATAACCTAGACTCTATTCCCTTAGGGATTTGATTTATTATGTTCGGAGGGTGGTTGGATTTAATGTTTACATATCTTAATTTTGCGATTTGTTTCATGTATGGGGAGACACTACCAGATTGTAGATTTAATTCTATGTCCAGATAAAAATTTGTTTTATTCATTTCGACTTCTATTTCAAAGCTGTGACTTTTGAAGAGTTTGAAAAGCGCTTTTCATATATTGTCGTTTGATCTTCTGTTGTTTGGTGCTATCATCAGACCGTCATCACTATATAGGCCGTGGTTGTTTATATGAAGAATTTTCTTAATTCCATATAACATATGCAAACCTATAAAATCCGAAATCTCAGCTCTATCAAAAAAACTTTGTGTTACATAAAAGCAGCCTTTTCTTTTATTTTTTAATTCCGGTTGCTCCATTACGGAATAACATTGATATATAAAAGTTTTATTCCTAGTTATATATGCACCATTATATTAATATTCACTGAGTCTAAATACAGATGCAACATACTGAATACAAGGCGCATGCTAGGTAATAATCTTTATTATAATAATATTTTCTGACTTCAGACTACTAGTGGCATAATAAGCGAAGCCTCTCTGTGTGAAATCCCGTAACAGTGCGACGTCTGTGTCTTAACATTTGATAATGATGCAGTAATATAGATCCAATGTTCTAAATGAGTCAAGTTCCAAAAATATGTTCGTCTACAAAGCACAGGTGACCTTTGTGTTCAAAAGAAGTCGTTCAGAAATTGTGAGGTCATTTCAGAGAAATCTTACACATATTAGACGTGGCACGTGTGTTGTGCTCCGATGTTGGTACAAATATCTTTGTTTACACCCGTAGATCAGGTGCGGGCCGGCCATTTACTATAAATCATCACAGATTATAAGGGCAGCAGCGGTTAGCCAAAGATGTCCATTGTGCTCTTTCGTAAAAATGCGTTCCCTTAAATGAAAATACAGATAGTTGATAATCATTTACTTTTAGGAGGACTACGAGCAGTAGTGCTAGCCAGAATCAAATTGACTATCGTCCACGTCTCCAGTCTTTTACTGAGAGGATCACCTGTAGGAATGGATGGCGTACTTTAATGTTATGTGATTAAAAGAGAGTCTGCATTTATGGCATCATGGTGCGAAACTACGCAATTTAGAATTCTCTCTCTTCATTGGTGTTTGTGTAAGAAAATTGAAATTAGGCCATATACGCCCAGAATATTGTTCAGCCCCTTCTGCTACCATTTGCTTAACTGGAAGAGAAGCATTGTTCCTGCAGAGTAAATCATGCTGATGTAACGCCGTGCTACATTACATTCTCTTAAAATTGTTCCATTATAATTATATGCGATATAACTAGGCAACTCCGAAGATTCGCGATACCCCAGGTTTAAAAAAAAAATGAAAAATCTAACTTGAAGCTTTTATTTTAGTTTTAATTACAAACTGACAGATTAAATATAATATTTTCAATAAGCAAAATACATTATTGTATTTAAAAAATAATTTCAATTGACTGGAAAGAGTTTTCGTTTTGAAATTTCTAAAGGTTTTGAATTTCGTATCATCTCTTTATTAAAATATCTTCCAAAAATAAAATGGCCTTTTTTGAAACTTTATTTGCGGAATATTAGCGGATTTAAAGTATAATTAATCTGATTTAAAAAAAAAAAAAACTGTTATTTACTTTAAGTTTAAAATATCGTAGAAATGCATTTTTAACAGAGCAGTAGATGTTTGTAAGTTTTTAACAGGCCCATAAAAGCTTGTTCACAGATACATTTTCATTTAATGTTGTTCTACTGCGGCTTTACTCGTAAAATAATAATTGAAGAATACAACACGAGTGATTTTTAAGTACTTGGTAATTCCAAAAATTTAAGAAAATATTCTCCGTAATCCTTTTTTTCTTGGATTTTAGATAATTTTGGCTTTAAATTTACTATACTTATCAGTCTGATTTCCTGTTACCTTTGTGTGTGGTTGACCGTATCTACAAAAATCGACACTTTTATATACATAAAAAACAAAACAAAACAAAAAAATAACAAATCAAAATTCTCTTTAAAAACATTCAGGTTTGTCAGATTGTATTAAACTTTAACATATATTAATAGTTAATATAATTTTACTTAATAACAATATTCTCGTAAATTACATTATTGAAAATGAATTTTAAAAGAGTTTAAAATCTTATAAATTTTTCTAATTAAAATTGTAAAAACAATGAAAACAAAATCTTTTAAAAATTCACTTTTTACCGGAAAAAATGTTTTTCATAAGACAATATTGTCCTTAATATATATTATTCATAATAGCAATTAAAAGCTTTTCTAATTAAATAATGTCTTAGCTTTTTTACGTTTCAAGTTTATGATACAGAGCAGATTTTCGTTAAAACAAGATCCATTTTAAATTCTCCAAAGAGTTTTGCTTTTATCTAATATAGTCAGTAAAATTATCCCGTTGAATTTCGACTTTTTATAAAATTAATTGTAGTGAAACATGTAAAAAATATTTTTACCAAGATTTTCTGAAAAAAAAAAATTGCGTCTATCTGCTGACGCAAGAAAAGCAAGATTATTAAAAAATAATCGAATATTCTAGAAAGAATTAAGATGTAATTAAATATTTACGAATAATATGTATCTTTCCTTTATTAATAAGATTTTTACGATAAAATTTAGTTTTCATCAAATTTGGCGCTTTTTTCAGCAAAATATAATTTTCTTTTTCAACGAATTAGGGGAGATAACTAGATATAATGAAACTACGTATGTAAATCAACATAATCGTGCGTATGTACATTTATAAATTCGAAAATAACTACAGATCGAATTATGGTCGAACATACATTTATTAAACTATTTCATTATTTAAGTAGTAATGTATTCAGTCATTTTGGAATCAAAAACGCAAATATCGAAAATTATACAGAATAATATACTGTTATAGAGTAGTCAATAATTGATAGGCAGTCATATTCGTCCTGTCCTGGGTAAGACGATAACATGGAAGTACCCAAGAATCATTTGAGGCACACAATGCTTTATGAGTTCGAGAAAGGAAACTCAGCAGCCGAAGCGGCTAGAAACATTCACTCAGTTTATGGACAGGAATGTGTGAATGAAAGAACTTGCAGAAGATGGTTTGCAAAATTCAGAGGTGGAGAGTTCACCCTTGAAGAAGAAGATCGAACCGGACCTCAAGTTGAGTTTGATGAAAATCTTCTTGAAGCAGCCCTTGAAGAAAATCCTGCTTTATCAGTTGAGGACATGGCAGTGGTTCTCAGTTCAAACCATACAACTATTCATCGTCATCGTCAACAACTTGGAAAAGTTCCTAAACTTGGAAAATGGGTGTCTCATGAATTGTCTGAAAACAACCTCAAATCCCGAGTTGACATCTGCTCTTCTCCATTCTCGCCAAATTGTTTCACCTTTTTTGGACAGACTTGTGACTGACGACGAAAAATGTATCTTTTATCGAAATGTTAAGCGTTGTAGACAGTGGCTTGGTAAAGGGGAAGGACCCCAGCCACAGTCGAGAAGGGAACTTCATGGGCATAAGTTTCTTCTTTCAATCTGGTGGGAACGCCAAGGAATAATCCACTTTGAATTCTTACCACCTAATGCAACAATTAATGCTCAAATATACTCTCAGCAATTAGAGCGTTTGAACCAAGCTTTGAGGAAAAAAAAGACTTGCTCTAGTGAATCAAAAAGGGCTGATGATGTTTCATCAGGACAATGCGCGACCCCACAGAGCAAGAATCACGTCACAAAAATCGAAGAACTTGGTTGGGAGAAAATTCCTCATCCACCTTATTCTCCCGATCTTGCTCCTTTAGACTACCATTTGTTTCGTAGCTTACATAATCATTTGGAAGAAACAGCTTTTGTAACACAGGAAGAGGTTAAAACCGAAATTTGCGAGTTCTTCGAATCAAGGCCAAAAATTTTTTACAGTAATGGAATTAGTAAGCTTGTTAATAGATGGAAGGACGTCATAGATATTCAGGGAAAATACATTGTTGATTGAATCTGTGTATTGAATGTAATATTTGGTCACTTGTTTTCTTTATTCAAAATTCGGACAGAACTTATGGGATGAACTGATATATTTACTCATTTTATTTTTGCGTAATTTACACAATTCATCCAACGCTGCTTTATATATATATATATATATATATATATATATATATATATATATATATATATATATATATATATATATATATATATATATATGATTGTGTGTGTATTTATTTATTTATATACACGACGTATCTATGAAAGTTTCGTTGGGATTAAAAGCGTACATAGACTAAATGCATTAAATTGCCTTGCTCTAAACTTTACTGCAACCAGTGGAAGTTACGTCATTACCAGAATCAATCTTGCACTATCTATCTATCTATCTATCTATCTATCTATCTATCTATCTATTCCGGAACTTTGATTATGCATGCATGTTATGTTTGTATGTATGTATGTATGGATTTATCACAGGACAGTCATTATCTATCTATCTATCTATCTATCTATCTATCTATCTATCTATCTATCTATCTATGTGACGTTTTGTTTATCTGATTAAATTAAGGGAAACCTCTAAAATTAAAGTAAAATTTGACAATTTGCCTTGGGATATTTCAGTTGTTTTAAGGTTTTTCCCTTACTTTTACTTTGGCCCTTTCATCTTTACTCTGTTATTTTTTTTCATTTTGAAGTTCTTATTTTGTATTTGAAACATTTTAAATTAAAAAGGAATAAACTTCCCTTCGGTTACACTTCTGTTTAGAGTTTCTTTCTCTGTTTATACTTGTACGAAACAATTGTTTATCTTAAGACTAGAAAACTGATCTTCTTTGAAATAACCAGTAGAACATTTTCGATGCAAATTCGTTCCTCGGAACAGTGAGTTATGCAAATATATTACTTATAAAAAATATTATCTACTAAAGTCACTTTTTCTTGCACTTGTGTATATACCATTGTTGTCATGATTTATTCTCTCACGGCACTTCGTTAAACCCCAAGATATTTAAAACTAACTCCGTTTAACTGTATGTCATAATAAAATAAAACATGAAAAAACACCCTTTCTTGAATTAATCTACATCACCTGTGACAATCTGTCATTTACCGTATGCGTGCACAAATCGAAATTGGGTCATCATCTGTCTCGGATTTTTTGTACGGTGACAGATATTTTTAGAATATTTTACCTCATTTTTATTGCTAATTTTGTTTTATTGCTTATTTTTTTAAATGTGGCAAGTCACCTTTGAGATGTTCATCGTAAAATTTGATCGGAATCATTTACACCATCCTCTTCCTTTGCTGATAGTAACGTTTAACATGTCTCCACTTCACCAGGCTATACTTTGGTTTTGTAAAACTAAAAAATTATTTAAATATGTCGAATTCTAAAAAAGTTTCGAAGCCAAGATTTGAACTTCGAATTCTCTACAAGTGAATATATGTAAAAAAATCATTTTACCTGAATAAGTCTTTGTTAGTTACAACAAGTCATAAAAAGAAGTACATTTTTGTAATATTATATTATAATTTGATTAAGTACTTTCCTAATGATGCATATACATTGTCATGAGTTCTGTCATGAATTATTCGTTGTCGGTATCATATTTACTGCAGTCCTGTGTGTGCACAGGACAAGGTAATCTGACAAAATCCCTTCTCACTTCAAGGTAGTTTTGAATTTAAATATTTCTTTGTTTCACGCTGGTTACTTCCCAAGGCAGCATAATCTCAATAATCCTCCTATTTAATTTATTAAAAGAGCTCTATGTTCAGAGTTTGCATATAAGTAGAAAATAATCATTATTTACATTATTCGGACTATTATCCTCATCTTTGTCGCCATATTATTACAACGTTTCGGCCGTTGTACGCTCCGGCATTGTTCAGGTAGTTGGAATGTTGAATTTAACCCTTTATTTCGCTCACTGAGGTGGACTGTTTTAGTTCCACGCGCTATGTTTAATGGGTGTCAGTTATCAGTTATCTCCTGTTAATTCCCCTCTCCAAGTTCTCCACTGCCTGAACCGGGTATTGAACTCAACGTTGTAATACATATGGCGACAAAGATGAAGACAATAGTCCGAATAATGTAAAGAATGTACATAATACCTCATCTCAGAAATATAGACAGATAGTAAATATTCTTTCATTGATTCTCGCTCGTTCTGAGTTCCCAAATTTAGCATACAGGACACAGATGATTTATAGTGAGTGTCTCTTATTTTAGTATATCAGTCCACAAAGAAAGGCAAATCCTTCCCCACAATAATCCATAAGATAATTTGCCTTTTTACAGAAAGCTTGAAAGCGGTAGTCTGAAAAAATACGAATCAGAATTTTGTCATTGTGCGAGAATAGCGCTATTAGTAATCATCATCCCATGTTCAACATTTACGAAAACCAAACAGTAGATGTGATTACTATGCAACGATAGATAATGCGTTTCCGCAGTAGACTTAGCCATATATGTGAAAAGTCACCTGACACCACTCTTTACTCCTGTTTTATTACGATGTCAGATATGTCAGATAAAAAAAAAGTAACTGCTTACTTATATATGTTAGCCTCAGTGCATATAGAGCTTATTTCAATTTGTTGAAAAGTATATTTTTTCAAAGATTTTACCCCATTACGTTAAGAACGTACTAGTATAACTTCGTGTACAAACATGTATTCACATAAATATATCTATGTATCATCTACCGATTGCTATAATGGTAAGTGGAATTTTCAAAATTAATAATCTTAAGTTTAAGTAAGGCTGTTATATGGATATACGGTTCGTTAATTTTGGGACATGCAATTCACTATACAAAATCTGGATTCAGACATTGACTGTCATGTATAGCTTCCCACTTACTGTAAATGTGACATTTCTTAATCAATGAACTTATAAGAATTGTATGATTGAAAATTTTAATTAGTGTTGTATTGAAAGTACTTGCGTTAACATTGTCATTTCACCTTACTAATTCCATCATTCAAATCTATTTCATAGTCAAACAATCCTTAATTGATAGCAGTGAATCCAATCTAATCAATGCTTGCTAAGGCCTACATTTGTACAAATATCTATATAACTTGGGGATCGCCCTTGGTCTATTAATTCTATATTTAATCAAAGAGTTTCAAAAGTGAAGTTATCTCTAAGAATTTGTGTCTCATCATATCGATTTTAAGTCGAGTATAAGTCTAAAACAATTTTCTTTACATATGTGCGCAAACATACAACCACACGCACACAGTTTCTCTCTCTCACTCTCTCTCTCTATATATATATAAATGTATATATGCACATATATATATATATATATATATATATATATATATATATATATATATGTATATATACATATATATATATATATATATATATATATATATATATATATATATATATATATATATATATATATATAATAATAATAATAATAAAAAAGGCTTAAACACTAATATTCCATGGTCATAATTTATTCCATTGGAATCGTAAATACGATCCAAATCATCAGACCTACAAATTCAAAAAGAAAACAGGAAAAAACTACACCGGAAATAAAAACAGAATTTAGAGAGAGTGTAAGTATGAGGAGGAGGGACATGAAACCTTAACAGAGAGAATTTTAGGAGAGGTGTCAGAACAGAAGTCACAGCTACATCTAACTAGCGCTACTGTAAATTGATGAGATCTCAACGCCATATTGTTGCGCTTAAATTCATACAGTCTAGGTACCACAGCAAAGTGCCCATCTGAACAATTATCACGAAAGTATTTATAAAAAGGCAGAGCGTGGCAACCTTACGGCGTGTCAGAAGCCAAGCAGCAAGATCTGGGACAGTAATATTGCTAATTGTTCTTTTTATCCTATCAAGGAGTTCTACGTATATAACAGGGGTACTGGACCATATATAGCAGCAATGTTCTAAGCACGAACATTTATAGACTTATAAATATGCAAGATAGATTCTGGAGAGGAAACTTGCCTCGCACGACACAGTGAATCGACATTCTAAGCAACTGACCTAGCAGTGGATTCAGTATAGTCTTTCCCCTTTATATCAGTTTACCTGGAGTTTAGCACCAGTCATGTTGAGGAAAGGCAGAGATGGATTCGTGTAGAAAAGTTTAGTTTTCGAGGCATTAATATTGACAAGCCATGTTTTTCCCCGGTTAACGACGTATTTTACGTCTTTTTGGACATCAATTGCCATGTTTACCTTTCTGGACTGAGCAGCTTTCCTATTGAGGCAGGAGTAAATGATAATGTCCTCAGCCTAGATGGCAAGTTGAGAGCTGATATCATTGCGAAGGTCGTTAAAAGAGTGAAAAGATTAAAAACAGTCTAGGAACAAGGATGGAGTCATATGGGAAACCCCCGTTAATACGAATGGATAGAGATGAGTGGCCGTTCATTCCACGATCAGATAAGAACGATTGGATCAGCTCAAAAATGTGTCCGGAGTAAATTTCAGCTTGAGGAGAAAACCTGAATTCCAGAGCCTGCCAAAGCTCTTTGAGATGACAAATGATATATATATATATATATATATATATAATAAGGTAATGAAGGGTCTGGTAATCCGTGTGAATAATTCCAAAGAGGATGTAATCCAGAGAGCTCAATGTAACAGCAGAGCAAATATTAATTAAATAATTAAGAAAGGGAAAACCTTAGGGTTCCCTGACTATAATTTATTTCCCCAGAAAAAAAATATATATTCTATATTTTATATTCTTTCATAATATATATATATATATATATATATATATATATATATATATATATATATATATATATATATATATGTGTGTGTGTGTGTGTGTGTGTGTGTGTGTGTGTGTGTGTGTGTGATAAACCAAGAGAAAACAAATGGATCTATGAGTTTTTTTTTTTATCGATTTATCATTGTAATGCTCTGTAATTTAAATTTACACTGTGCACTCTTTTAATTACTATACTCATTGGAATTTTATATATATATATATATATATATATATATATATATATATATATATAAATGTACACTGGACTCTCATCGTTGTTGACGGTCAAGCAGCGCAATTCTTAAGCCCAACAGCCAGACCACCCCCACATATAATTGGATTATAGTGTAGAAATCTTATGTAGAGAGCTGATTTAAATTATCCCAAAAGGTCCCCAAACGTCCCTCGCCTGTTTTAAATTCAGTGTTATCTTTCTAGTAGAGAGTTGGCCACCCAAGGCTGTAGAAATTATTCTCTCATGCTACTTACCTATAGCTGAAGGGGAATAAAACGTGGATTCAAAGGTTTCCTCGGGGTATTAGCACGTAACTGTATATAATGGATCGGACTGGGAGATATATATATATATATATATATATATATATATATATATATATATATATATATATTATTTATAAAAAATTATAACATAAGTATAGTGATTTTATAACATACTTATGTTATAATTTTTTTATAAATAATAATTATATCTGCTCTACGTTGTATTGAACACTCTTTTAAGAATAGTAATTGTTGGTTATTGGAATTCATTCCGTATATACAAATT